TAGGACGTTGTGTTCCCTGATAAGATGAGGCAATCAGGCTCTCAGCCTGCGCCTTGCGCTGCCTGCTGCTACTAGCGGCCTCGTGGTGGCGCCAAGGAACATTTATGTAACCGTGGTCCTGGTGAGCCAAGTGCCCCTGGCCAGTCCCACGTCCCGATAAATCCCCAGGACGCACTGTGTCCCCACGCCCCCAGCTTCATCTGAAGCCCCCTCCCCTCAAGGTTTAAGGCCCCACACTCTGTATACAGGGTCCCTATTCCCATAGCTCCCTCCGGGACTTTCACCGGCCCAGGCACTTCCCCACCCAACCCTGTGACACCTATGCAGCCTAGCCCTGGCCCAGCCCCCTACTGTTGTTCCTCCTTCACGTTCCCTTCCCCTGCTTCCCCGCCCACCCGTCACAGTGCCTCAGATTCAGCAGCCAGCCTCCTTCCTGCCACCCAGTGTCCCTACACAGCTCCCGATCCCCGTCCTCTCCCCATGCACCTGTATTGGCCACCCGACACCCCGCTCTGTTAGCTTCTGAGAATTCGGGCCCTGCTTTCTCTGATGCAGCCACCTTCTTGAGAGGGCCAGTGCCTTCCTTTTCTTACCCTGCTGCTCTGTGCCCCGGAGGGCAGCTGCAGGGTTCCAGCTGCAGTGGGGAGGTTAGGGTTGTTATGTGTCCGTCCCACTCTTTGCTGTGGTGCTGAGCTTGCCTGTGTGTGTGTCCTGTGATAATTTCAGTCCAGCCACTCCACCCTGAGGCCAGTCTCCAGAACGGCGCTTTCAGAGAGTGTTGGAGGGTACCTACAAGGCACCTGAGACCCGTTCATGGGACCACGAGATAAAACTGTTGGCTATATACCTTTGCTCTTCCTAAAGTATAGTGGAAAATTCCAGAGGCTAGGTGATGATTGATGGCCTCACTCCTGGACAGGCACTGAAGTGTGTGCTTGGGTTTTGTGTTGTTGTTTTTTTTTTCCCAATACAGGGGCCTTCTACACACACACACACACACACACACACAGAGAGAGAGAGAGAGAGAGAGAGAGAGAGAGAGAGAGAGAGAGAGAGAGAGAGAGAGAATGGAGTGGGGTGTGTGTGTGTGTGTGCGCGCGCGCCCGTCCATCTTTCTCCATTGTACATACAGATACCCACCTGTCTCCTTGGCAGCCTTGGATATGACCATTGGCGGTGGTGGGAATGCCACTTGAGCTCCTGTAACTTCTGTCCAGAGACTATTTTTTTAATAGGCTGATGGAGGAGTAGAGAACAGGTGGGGGGCAGGCATCTCTTGGGGTGAGGACCATGTCCTGCCTTGAGCATGTACCCACTTTCCTCCCAGTGAGAAGCCCTGGCTTTACCTGGCCTATCTGTAGTAGTACCCATCTCATATGCTCCCAGGGACACAAGCAGAAAGATCCTGAGGATGTTAGGAAACGAAGTGAATCTGAATACACAGGCCCTGTCTCCACCCTGAATCTCCCCCCCCCCGTCTAAGACCACGGAGTGGATGGGAATAGCAATGAGAGTAGACATTTTGGAACGTGCCAAGCCTTGTGGTATGCAGCCTGTAGCATCACCATGCGGGTCCCACTGTGAGAACAAGATGGCAGATTCCTTTCCCATAGCTGCTGTAACACACAAAATGGATAGCTAAAAAAGCAGCTGAAATTTGCTTTTCAGACGTCCCGAACAAAACCAGGAATCTAAGAGCAAGATGCTGGCAGGGGTGGTTCTCTCTGGAGGCTCCAAGGGAGCATGGTTCTTGCTTCTCTTCTCACTCCCAGTGCTGGAGCTGGCAGCTCATCCCAGTCTCCTCATGCCGTCTCTTATTTCCCTCTTGTAACTTGGGCTTCATCTCAAGACGTTTACCCTAATTATATCTACAAAGGCATTTTTTTAATCTCTCTCTGAGCTCTTTCCAAATCAGGTTACCTCAGATTCTGGGAGTCTGGGGACTGTAGTTCTGCATTGCTCACCCCACTGTAAGCAGTCCGGAGCTTGTCTAGCGTTATATCTACTGAATAATGGAGACCAGGTCAGACCTGACATATGTGACGCCAGGCCTTCCCAAGGTGCCAAAAGGTCCTGTGAATGTCCAGGAATAGAATTAGCATGTGGCATGTTTAACTCACCTCCCCCAACCAGTTCAACATTACCATTTCTTTGATGATGGTTGTGTTAGATGCTTTTTAAATTGCATGTAAACATTTTTTTTAATTGCGGTGTGATGGCACATGCAGATGGCATGACACGTGTGTAAAGACCAGAAGAAGAGTTTTGGGAATTGGTTCTCTCTCTCTCCGCTGTGTGGGTCCTGAGGATGGAACTTAGATCATCAGACTTGATCAAACAAACACCTTTACCTGCTGAGTCTTGCAAGTCCACAACACAGAAAAGCTTATAATAAAACTGTTCAATTCAGCACTGTGCCCCGATCAGATTTTAGTTGTCCTGATAGGTCCTGAAAAAAACAAAAGAAGTGTGTATATGTGTGTGTGTGTGTTATACTGTATATATAGTATATATTTTTGTTTCATAATTTTTCAAATTAATCTGTTGTTTTCATGAGATTAAATTTAAGACTCTATCTCACTCCTACCCACCTCCTCCTGAGTTAATAAATGTATAATTTCAACTATTATGTTATTTTAATTCCACCATGTCTGATGGGGTGGTAGGATTTGTCTGTGACACTGACTGCACAGTGTTGAAATCTAGCACTGGCTTTTTGTGACTGGTGCGATAAAGTTTTATTGACCTGCAAGGCCTATGCTGGGATTATATTTACTTCTACCTTTTTCATGGGGTTGCTGGGAAAGAGAAGCAATTTTAATATGAAAAGCAGCTAGGGCCCCTGAGCACTTCACGGGTTGCACCATCTGGTATTTAGTGTACTTTTAATTTCATCATTGTTGTCTTGTGTCCAAATTGCTCCTGTATTTCCTAGAGTTAGTAATCGACTTAAAAAGGTAATGTTCCTTCCCTGTGTCCTCAAGTTTATCTAGTATCTCTGTCATGCTCTCTGCCTAGAGTTCCTTCTTCCTAGGGTTATCCCCTGTGGACCTCTGCCTTGCCCTTGACCCCTGGTTTCTTGGTTTCCTCTCTGTCTGTCTTCTCTGGATGTAGTATGTGAGAAGTAAGCTTCCCCATCCCTGCCCTGCAGCATGTCCAGTACGACATGGGCACGTAGTGTCTTGTTCTGGTGTGAATAGCCTGATGTTTGTTTCTCGAATACCACTTTCGTGTTGAGATTTCATTTTTTCACTCACTCGTGTAATTATGCAGAGACTCTCCTAGCCAGGGATGTTTTTGTGCGCTTGTGCTCACACTTCTGCCTGATTTTTCCCAGCGTGCTCCCCTCTTAGTCTACCTGGTGCCTCCACCACACACGCTGACAGCAGATTGTCTTAGTTTCCCCTTAGCAGCTTCCTGTATTCTTTTCTTTGTTTCTTTGTTTCTTTCTTTGTTTCTTTCTTTGTTTCTTTCTTTGTTTCTTTCTTTGTTTCTTTCTTTCTTTTTTGCCAGTCTATACCTCTTCTTAGATAAAAGCTCCTGTAGCTTTCAACTTTTAGTTCTCCACAGTCTGTTAAAAGCAAAAGTTCCAGGAAAAGGTAGGAATAGTCTCGTAAAACAGTGCTGTAAAATAGAACTGAAAAGTGCAGGCGGCCACTTGTGGCCATGCCCCAGGTTGCTTGCTTCTTTCCCCGTAACGTGAGAAGTAATCAGGGAAACAGACAGGCCACATAAGGCCTTGTCTTAACAGTACTAAGAGATGGAATGCTTCATTCAGCTCGCACATGTTTTCTAGGATTGTTTTTTGTTTGGTTTTGTTTTTCAGGATAGTTCTTTGAGTGTATTTCTAGCTTTTTGGAATTATTATTTAATCAGGAATATGTTTAATTTCTCCATGCTTTTTTGTTGGTGGTGGTGTTCTCTGAACTTGCTTTTTATGGTACTTGGTTTGCTCTGTGCATCCCATTATATCTTGGATTCTGTTGAGAATACCGATCAGAAAATTTTTTTTTCCAAGACAGGGTTTCTCTGTGACTTTGGAGGCTGTCCTGGAATTCATTCTGTAGACCAGGCTGGCCTTGAACTCACAGAGATCCGCCTGCCTCTGCCTCCCAAGTGCTGGGATTAAAGGTGTACGCCACCACCACCTGGCTCCCATCAGAAATTTTAGCTTAATATTCTTTTGTTTCCTGGCTTCTCTGTTTTACCTCTGGAGTTGGTGGCCTTGTTGCTCTTTCTTGTCATGCTAGTGATTTCCTCTCATTGGCTGTCAGGCCTCAAGTGTATGTTTCCATCTAAGGTGGATGGGTGGGCCAACCTCAAGGGCTGGAAATCTTCCTTAGACCCTCTGTAGGGCAAGAAAACAGAGAAGAGGCAGCAGTGTGGCTCTCCCAGTACTAGGAAGGCTTCATTCTGGGGTGGCACCAACTGCTTTTCCCTGAGCAGCTGGTCTTTCTTTTTTCCTTCTTACGTGCATGCGTGGCTTAGAGTTTGGGTGAATGCTAGCTTGTCCTAATCACGGAGTAGATTGGGGTCCATAATGAATGAATCCACACTACCCCGGAGTCGCACTGTGGCCCGCCTTCTCCACACCTGCCTAGGCCCCTTCTGGGCTCTTCTGAGCCATCACCTTTGTAGTCAGTCACCCTGCCTGAGTCTGCAGGAGCCATTTGAAGTCCTCCTGCTACATCAGGGGCCGCAGGCTGCTAGACTAGATGGAGAAGGCTCCCTCGGAGCCTGCACTCCCTTCCTACTCACCTCCCGGAGCTAAACCGCACTGGCCGGGCCTGGGAGTGTTGATGGCATGCTTTTCCCTTTTCTGAGCTCCACTGCCGGAGTTGGCCATGTTGCCGCTTCTTCCTCAGCCCTGTCACCTGCTTGCATCTCAGGTGTGGGCTGAGAGCTTGTCACAGGATGGGAAAATGGGCCTTGTGGGTGGCAGTGGCCTGGATAGATGGTGAGCATGGCCGAGACTTAACCTCTGCCCCTGTCTCCCGCAGGTGAGAGGCCCTTCGCCTGCAGCTGGCAGGAGTGCAACAAGAAGTTTGCGCGCTCGGACGAGCTGGCGCGGCACTACCGCACGCACACGGGCGAGAAGAAGTTCAGCTGCCCCATCTGCGAGAAGCGCTTCATGCGGAGCGACCACCTGACGAAGCACGCACGTCGCCACGCCAACTTCCACCCCGGCATGCTGCAGCGGCGCGGCGGGGGCTCGAGGACCGGCTCGCTCAGCGACTACAGCCGCTCGGATGCCAGCAGCCCCACCATCAGCCCGGCCAGCTCGCCCTGAGCACCCACCCGCGCCCCCGGACCGCGCCTTGCCCCCTTGGTTAAATAGGAAAGCTGAGCGAACTTGAGAAGTCCACAGCAAAACATTTTTTCTTCACCTCAGGTGTCAATTTTTAACAAAAAAATTGTTTTTTCAAAAAAAATATACACGACCCATAAATTGCACAATAGAGCTATCCACGAAGATGAGATTCAGTGGTGTTGAACCCCCCCCCCCCTTTCTCAGGGATGGATGCGGTCCACGAGGTCAGCAAGGGCACGCCTTTCTGCCGCCTTACTCTGTACATAGATTTGCACTCTGGAGTTTGCTGTGAGGTTGGGGATCACACTGGGGCAGAACAGGCCAGCTGGGGACAGATGTGGCCACTGACTGCTTTTTGCAGCAGACCCCCCCCAAAGTCCTGTGCCCTCTTCCTGCTTGCTGGCTGGGTTGCCATCCTCTGCCCCTTGGCCTGGCTTAGAGCACAGGTGGGTCTGAGGGACTGGGCACCTCACAGGGATGTGGTAAGCCATGATAGACTGTGGGAACACTTGCTTGTGGAACTGTGGAGAAGGAATCAGCCTTCTGAGGGTGTGCCTGCCTGCCTGCCTGCCTGCCTACCTGCCTACCTGACTTTCTGCCTCCAGAAATCCTCAGAAAAATGGAGGCCAGATGCAAACCCCGCCTGGATTGGCGCACTGTTGCTGCCAGCAGCCCAGAGAGGCGGCCTGGGCCCTGCCTGCTCTACAGAAGGCACCTGGGGACCCTTCGTCATCCCACAGTGTTCTCAGACTGGGAAATAGTGCCCTGAACACACTGTTGTACTGAACCTGCTTCCCCTCAAACTTGGTGTTGTTTCATCCAGTTCCCCAAGCTCTCCTGGGCCACGTGGAGGCGTGTCTGTATGAATCCAGGCCGTCATGGCCTCTCTGCCTCTTCAGTCTGTGTGTGTCTGGCCCTGTGAGTGTCACCTCACACATCCCACAGAGACTGCTGCTGGTGGCAAAGGCATTATCAGCTGGAATTCCTCAGAGAAGCACAGCAGGCAGTATAGGAGTTGATACTGGAGAAACAAGGATCTGCTTCTCTGGGGGACACCACATGAGAGTTGTGGGTATTGCCTTCTCAGAACCTTGAGTGCAGACTTAGCAAACCCACACTGTTGTACTTCCCACTTTTCCTGCCTGAGAGGACCCAAGCCACACCCAGTCTGCAGGGCAGGGCTGGGGGCAGGGAGCTGCTGGTAAAACAGCCGGAGTAGAAGCCAGGTCCGAGGGCAGTGGTGGTACACACCTTTAATCCCAGCATTCAGGAGGCAGAGGCAGTCGGATCTCTGTGAGTTCGAGGCCAGCCTGGTCTACAAGAAGCCAGGTCCATCCTGTTTCTCCTGGAGCCCAGACCTGGACTGCATTGGCAGCAGGCGCTGGGCCTTATCAGCAAGACCATGTTCTGGTTGCTCTTCTGCAGATCCCTGGAGTACCTATCTGTTCTTACCCTGCAGAGGCCCAGGAATTTCCTCCCCTTCTCCCAAGAAATGGGGCCTAGGAACGTAAGGGCCCCGGGACAGGATATATATGTGTATGTGTGTATGTGTGCGCCTGTGTGCGTGTTCGCGAGTATGTATTGGGTGGGTGGGTTTGGGATGGACTTGGGTTATCTTACAGAGACCTCTCTTCATTTTGATGTGGAGGGTCAGCCCTTGTAACTTGGAGGGCCGATAGATGGGCTTCCTGGGCCCAGAGTGCCTTGGTTGTGGCCGTTCTGTCTCCACCCCAGCTCTCACACAGTGTAGGGGTGCAGCACAGGAAAAACCTGGAGACCATGCCCAGCCATGTCTGCAGTTTCTGGCTGTTGTCATGTGACTACCATGTGGATCTGGGGCACCACTTTCTAACTACCTGTGTCAGTTTTGAGAGGCTGATGGCATATGGTGGCTTTTGGTAGCACAGTAGGTGCTGAGTTGGGCTGTGACATTGTTGCTGCCGAAAGCAGGCATGGTGGGTGAGGATGGTCCCTACCCTGGTCTAGTGCAAAGCTGGTGACCGCTCTGCTTGCATTTCATCTGGGGAAAAGATTGGAATATGCAGTCTGCGGTCGGGACCTTGACTGAAGGGAACCCTGGGTGCTTGGGGTGTGGCTATCTTCATGCTGAGTTCCAAAGTATAGTCCCTCCCAAAGTCATTTGTGTGAGGCAGAGAAAGCCACACTCTGAACACATTTCATGTCTCAGGAATTCACATTCCAGATTCAGGAATTTTATTCCAAAGTCCTTTGGTGCACCTACATCCACGGTTGTGAAGACAGAGAGGCAGCAGTGTGCCCCAAAGGCCAGCCAGGGTCTCTCCTTGGGAAGAGCGGGTGTCTCCTTGTGATCTACCCACACAGTCACAGGGAGGAGGCTTTCCAACCCCGCCCGCCACTGTCTGCACTTAGCAAGGGTAAAAAGGACTCTAAGCCGGTCATCTTGGAATAAAAGAAAGAGCTGGTTTGTTGTAGAGTGGGGTAGGGGTGGGGGTGGGGGAGGGAAAGTGGGCGTAGGCTGTTTCCAAAGAGCACTTAATTTAATTTTTCCTCTGAATGACCCAGGGCTGTTCCGTCTGATGGATGGAAGGGTAAAGTTGCCTTAAAACAGAAATATGCAGGCGTTGGCTATTTTTGGCAAATGAACGTGTCTTCATTCCCAAAGTGGTTCTCCTTTAATGACAGGGTGTGGTCCTTCAGCATGGGGCCAAGGCACCCCCTCATGGACCCCAATGTCTTCTGGGGCTTCAGTTCATCTCATCAAGGGGTGGGAGGAAGGGAGGAACATGACTAGACTCATTTCCAGTGGTTTCTCATTAGGTTCCCATTTCATCATAAACAAGGGATACCTTCTAAGACGCAGTCTTCCCAGCCTGGGTCTGTTGCGGGGTCTTTGAGTTTTTGCAGTTATGGCCATATTTTCTGGTTTCAGTTTGACTGAGGAACCCATAGGGCACCCAGAAATAATATTGAAAAGTCAGTTTTTAAAATTTTTTTTTAATTTTTAGGGACGGGAGGCCTAGATCCCACAATGAAAGTGCCTGAGTGAAGGGAGAGTTCCCTATAGCAGTGTCTAAAAGGAATTCTGAACTTCAGCCATCAGGGGGCTGGAATTTAGCTCATGTCCCAAATGAGAAAGTCCCTCTTTGCATCAGCCATATTAGGGGGGTCACTGTCTGTTCCCCAGATGCCTACTGAATCCTACAGCCATACAGAAAACAGCCCTTTCCACAGAGGGCCCTTGGTTCTCTCTTGATGGGTGCTATGTTGGGATGGATGATAATGCCCTTGATGGGAGTGTGGGCCTGGAGGTGCCCTACCTGTGTCCTGCCGTGCCCCCTGCCCCAGGACCTGGGGTGCAAGGTCTCCACCTCTAGCCCTCGCATCCCAGCTTTGTTCTGAGGCCAGCATTGGGACAGGCGCTGGGTTTACCAGGGTGCAGCCTCCAGGTGCAAAAACCTGCACCCTGGTGACCCTCATGAAGAATGGCTTAGATGACGGGAAGAGGGAAGGCGACATTCTGTGGTCCCAAGAGAAGTGTGGTAGAACAGAGGGTTACCTTTCAAGACTTCTGCCTCCCGGCCTCACTGTCCAGGAGGCTGGCCCTTTCTTGCCAGAAGCAGGTGCTACGAACAATGTGCACAGGGCCGCAGCATTTCCTAGAGGCTTTCCACCAAGCAGGGGCACTGTCCACGGAAGACAAGTCTGAGCGCCAGTTTGACCTCTCAGCTCCTGGTTGTGGCTTTGTTTACAAGGCTCCCTAGTTTTGACTTGTGGCAGGTGTTACTGATTGTCCCCCCTCACCTTACAAAAGGTCATCAGTCAGAGACTGTGCTGGAAGGTTTATGAATAGCCATGTTGCAATCAGTAAGAAATGATTTGTAGGTCACCCACATTTTTTTTTTTTTTTTTTTTTTTTTGCTGTCCTAAGTTTCCATAGGTGAGTCCTGGTAGCCGTGTATCCTTGGAAGCGAAAATCCAGATGTGGACTCAACTTGTTTTGAAATCAGGATGGTACTAGGGAGAGCCAGGTCCTATGACTAAGTTTCCTGATTCTGAATCCTCGAAGGTTTGTCCTGGACACATTACAGAGAATTTTGTACCCAAACATAGATGCTCAATCCAGCTGACTACTGATACAGGCCTGAGTACCGCTGAGGGAGAGGCCTTCCTCTTGCTGGTCAACTGACCTCCAGTGAAAGGAGCAGAACTGGCCTGGAGGCCCCAGTCCAACAGGGAAAGGAGAGGGTTGCTTGGTTTCTCTTAACCCCCTACAGAGTTAGTGGACTTGCCTTGGATTAGCCCACCCCCACCTCCACACGATCCCCCAGTCTCACACAGCTTTAAAACATCACTACTTTTATTTAGAAACAAACAGGATGGCAAAGAAGACACCTCCCCCACATCCCTGGGGGTGGGCAGGAAACAGGTCAGGCATGAGGGCGGGGTTTCTCCCTGCTGTTTCCCTGGAGCACCTGGGTGTTGACTGCCTTTGCTCCTTAGCTCTATAACTGCCTGTGGGCTGGGCTGCCTTTCTCCAAACTGAGAGCCTAGACTTGGGAATATCCCTTCCCTAGGAGTAGCTACCCAGAGATATCACCTGGTCTGCTCCGGTGTCATACCTGAGTTATGAGGACTACCCTGGCGTTGAGTGGAAGGATCTCTTTCCCATTGCACACTGGAGAGGCCCGGGTGCCTAGTGCAGGGGGCCCCATGGGCAGTCATAGGAGACTCCCTGTTGTGGTTTTGTTAGCTAGGCCCAGGTGACTGCTTCCCATCCAAAGCCATCGGTGGAACTTAGTGGAATCCTTTGCCAAAACCCCAGGCAAAATCCAAGGGTCCAAGGCCATTTCCATCAAGTTCCAGATTTTCTTTTCTATAGGAACTTTTTTTTTTTTAAGAAAACCCTAGTTCCCAACATGCTTCCAAAGGCCATGTTCCGTCTTTCCTGGATCACTACAGTGAAGTATTACAGTTGTACAGTTTCCAATCTGGCCTTGGCTTGCTCGGATAAAACTTTGTTATGTATTTTGTAAGGCATAGATTCTATATTGTAATGTCCTATGCAAAAGAAAAAAATTAATGAAATTGTAAATTTTACTGTTTTAACATGTATGCATGTTTAGTGACGTTTACATTTTGAAATAAAATTTATGATTCATTATTTTATTGGCCTTGGTGACTCACTTGAGGGGTGTGGCCCACAGAGGCTCTGGGAGGGGGACAGAAGTTAAAATCTGAAATCTGGAGAAACTCCAGCCACTGACTTGAGGGGCAGAACCTCACATGGGGCTTTGCACAAGGTCTGTGGGGACAGCGGGTTCTCTTCAGGGTGTTGGGGACGTTCGAGTTCACTAACTCCCTCACTCCTCTTCCTCAAAGTCAGCAGTAAGGACACGGTCCCCAGAGGGTTAGGATTCCTCTAGCATCCTTTTTGTTGGTTGTCACTGTCACAAATAGGAAAAATGACCCAAAGAGGAAGGGGTCTTTTGGCTCGTGGTTTTACAGTTCACCATAACCAGTTGGCTCCTTTGCTGTAAGGCTGTGTGAGGCAGTGTCATATAGCAAGAGGGAGTGGCAGAGCAAAGCCATTCACCTCTCCCTGAGGTGCCAGAAGAGAGGGAGCCTAGTTCCCACTGTGCCCTAGATAGACACATCACCATGGTCTGAAGACTCAGGTTCTCTGTCTACCAGTGTTGCCGCCCTCGGGAGCATGTCTTCTCCACACGGACCCATGGAGGATGCTTCCACCTCAAACTCCAGTGCCCCATAGGCATCAACACTCTCCCCAGATGCAGCCACTCTGCCTCAGATTATAGAAAATGCCCGTTTCTAGCCACAGAAGTTATGTGGTTGGTCACAGACCTAGTTCACTGCATAGGGAAGAAAAAGATTTGATGTTTGTCAGCACCAGGGGCCAAGTTCCCTGTGATCTTTATTGTCCATGGTTGCTCCTGGATGCCAGCAATGAAGAATAACAGCAGGGTCAGGTGAGTGACTGGGTCTGCCCTTCCCCAGATCATAACAGTAGCATGTGACTTGGGAGACTGTGGGAAGGATATAGTTGAGGCCCACTTCTTAAGCCCTCAACCAGAGTGGTAAGCATGCTGTTTGCCATTTCAGTCTGCACCTGTAAGTGAAACCCACTAAGAAATTTTAAGTATTAACCAAAGAAGGCATTTCAGTTGAAGCTACACTGACCCTGTAGTCACTTCCTGGTAGACACTGGTTTCTAACACCTGGACCGAAGACCAATGGGTGTGCTAAAAGCACCCAAACACATCAACAGCCACAAACACAAGCACCTATCTTGAAGCACATGTTGGCATAAGATACTTTGTAGCGGGTTCTCAGTTGTAGTCTTGTCCCAGGACAATGTCATTTAACCGTCTGCAATGTTTCCTTATTGTGTAGAAACTTCCGCAGATAGCAGTAACTGCAGGGTGGGTCTGCTTCTATAAACAGTGGTGTGGGGAAAGGGTCCTGGATACTTTAAAAATACCCACAGGAAAAAGAAATGCCCGTCAGTCATGATATCACTGCTGAGAGCTCTTTCCAAGAGGGAAGAAGAGTTGGTGGCCCACCTTCAGGAACTAGTGATCCCTGGAGACCTTAAGGAGCCCCCACTAGTGTAAAAGAAACAGAACACATCCTCTAAGAAGCATCAGTTTTTACTGATACTTGAAAGTGGAATTCATTAGTACATGTGGCATCCAAATAGCACGTCCGTTCCTTCAATCTGGGATAAAGTGGAGAAAGACCCCTCTGCGTTTTGTGGCAGTTTGGTGGAATGCCATCTCTACCTGTGTTCCAGTCTGGGAAGGGTGATGTGTAGCAGGCTGCTACCATCCCAGAAAGCAGAGTCTGCCTCTTTTTTTTTTTTCAAGTTTCTTTTTATTTATTCTTTGTGTCTTTCACATCCTGCATCTCGATCCTGTTCATTTCCCTGCCCCTTCGTATCTGCCCTCTGCCCCTTGAATGCCCTGCAAAAGAAAAAGAAGAATCTCATCATGGAAGCTATAGTGTCACACACTGAGTCACAGGATACCCCTTTGTCCATACATCTTTACCTGCAGGTGTTCATTGCACAGAGTCAGTGGTCTGGTTTGAGGCCTCTGGTTTCTGCCATGCGGTCAGTGCTGGGCCCTCTCGGGGACTCCTCTTGGATATCCATTGTTTCCCTGTGTTGTGGAGATTCTGCAGCTTTGGGTCTCTAGCAGATCATAGATGGGGTAATGATGGGTGGGCCAACTCAGAACCCTGGTTCTGGACCTGAGTAGTTGCAGGGTTGGTCAGGCCACCAGCTCTCTGTTCTTTGAGCTCTCCAGCAGTGCCCGACTAGTTCACCCCTTAGAGCAATGAGCAAGGGCGGGGCCAGTTTTCTGGCTTTCATGCCCTCAGGGCTGGCTCTCCCACACCAGGACCATCAAGGCCAGCTTTAGTGTTGCTCAGGCGAGGTACAGGGGCCACTCCTGAATGCTGTAGCTGGTGAGGAGCAGGGACAGCTCTCCTGCTCTTATGAAGTAGGGCCGAGTTCTTCCACCTGTCACAGACACAGGTGGCAGCGGGGGAGGGGGTGTTTCTCCCTCCCCCTCACCACCATATGGCAGATGAGGTGCTGGGCCAGGTCTCCCTCCCTCACGTTCTCGGAACCTGTTCACTTGTCAATGGGGTCAGCTGGACTACCAGCTCACAAAAATGACACGGGGACTTATTATTTATCCTGAAGCTCGGCCTGTAGTGTAGGCTTGTCCCACCAGCTCTTGTAACTTAACCCGTTTCTATTCATCTACGTGCTGCCTTGTGAGTCGTGCTCTTTACTTCCTGCGTGACTTCTCCCTCTTCGTCCGCTCCCGACTCCCATTCTTCTTTCCAGAGCTCTCTCTGTCCAGAAGTCCATCTGTACCTCCTGTCAGCTCTGCCGTGCTGCCTAGATGAGGTGCAGGGTTCACTTTCCCAAGTGCTGCTGCTGATAAGGGGGAGGGTCTGCCCCCTCTCCAACCACAGGTGGCAGGGCAAGGGGGAGGGCATCTTTTCCTTTCCCACCACCACACGGTGGACAAGGGATGTGTGGGTAGTTCACCTGCACCTCCGCCAACAGAGTCAGCTCTACTGTGCTGCCAGCGCAAGGGGTAGGACCGACTTTCCTGAATGCTGCAGCTCGTAACGGGGAGGTTCAGCTCTCTCGTCTATTGTAGGTGACAAGGGGTAAGGGGGCATCTCCCCTCCACCCATGCCACTGCATGGCAGACGAGTAATGTGAACAGCTCCCCCTCTCTCACAACTTCAGGGCCAACAAGGTCCTGCGCAGGCCAAGTGCTGCTGCTGGTGAGGGGTTGAGAGTCTGCCTTTTTAAGGATGGGCTTACCATGTGTTCTAGTCTGTCCTCTGCTGTTGGGAATGTGGTGGCACAGTGAGAGTTAGCTATGAAAAAGAGGTTTGTTTTGGCTCAGCCCTTCCTTCAGACACAAGGTTCACTCCCCACATCTGATAGCCCTCCTCCTGGCACATACCCAGAGGCACGTGTGTGCATTCTTCACCTTGGGATTCTGTTTCTTATGAATCAACTGGTCAGTCATGGGGGCTTCACCCCAGTGACTTACTCCTAACCACCTCCCAAATAGCTCCCTCTAAACATGACAGATGAGTTGAGTTTCCACCTCTTTACCCCTCACCATGGTTAAAGCTGAGCATGACTTTCTGTTGGGAATGAGCCATATCCAAACCACGGTACTGCCCTTGCTTGGTATCTGCCCACAGACCATGAGCACCCTATTGGCTCAGGCATTCAAGCAGATGGCAAAACGCTGCGTGGCAGGACCACCATGGAGAAAGCTGCATTCTAGAAGAGTTGCTGAGCTCTCACGAGATGGGTTGCTCTGCTTCTAGGCGATTTCCCCAGGCACGACCATGCAGACCCTTGGAAACACTCCGATCACTTGCAGAGGGCCTCACATCACAGATTAGCCTTGTGATTTGTTCTTGATAGAACACTTAGCTGTGAGCCACATTCCCAAGGTCTGCTACATGCAAAGCAGTGTGATCAGGCAAAGACTCAACTTCTGACAGCTGCATCATGTCTGCCAGACTGTCCTGCACCAACGAGGGTGACGGACTTTGACTCCAGAGCAGTGGTATCAGGGCAAGGCAGGTTTTGCCAGACGGCCGTCCTGGAAGGGCTCATCCTGGACTTATCCCTATCTCTGCGTTAGCAAGCTTACCAGACAGCAACTTTTTGTTTGTTTGTTTTTTTGTTTTTTGTTTTTCAAGACAGGGTTTCTCTGTGGCTTTGGAGGCTGTCCTGGAACTCGCTTGGTAGTCCAGGCTGGTCTCGAACTCACAGAGATCCGCCTGCCTCTGCCTCCCGAGTGCTGGGATTAAAGGCATGCGCCACCAACGCCCGGCTTTTTTTTACCAGACAGCAATTTAAGGCAACACACACTGAGTTGTTTTCTTTCTTTCGTTTCTTTTCTTTTCTTTTTCTTTTTTTTTGTTTTGTTTTGTTTTGTTTGTTTGTTTGTTTGTTTTTTTGAGATAGTGTTTCTCTGTGGCTTTGGAGGCTGTCCTGGAACTTGCTCTTGTAGACCAGGCTAGTCTCAAACTCACAGAGGACCGCCTGCCTCTGCCTCCCGAATGCTGGGATTAAAGGCGTGCGCCACCACTGCCTGGCTAAATGTTTTTTTCTTCTAAAATCTTTGAAGGTCAAAAGACCAAACTGAGTTGTAGGCAAGGTGCCAGCATGATTTGTTCCTTATGAAGGCTTTTAGAGTCCATGTCCATTCTTTGACTTGTGACTCCATTGTCTCTTCCAAGCCACAGGGCATCAGGGCACCGTCTTCCCTTCTTTGGCGTCTCCTGCCTCTGTGAGTGCATCTGACCTACCTGGTAATCCAGGCCCGTCTGTCCACTATCTCAGCCTGTGTGTGCTTCCTGCACCCCTGGGAGTCTACAGCAAAGCAGAGGCCAGGCTGCACTTAAGGAACACAAGGGGTGGGAAGGCCCCAATTCCCACATGCCCCAGAACTAAGTATTCCTTTATCCTGTGTAGTCCTTTATGGTTTTTCCTTCACCTTTGAGTCCAGATTGTTCCTAGAAAATGTGTGCCACCCTGCCCCTCCATCCCTGTAAGTATGCCCACCCAGCCTTCCTCACAGTGGTGACTGTGTAGCTCTGGACAGGGCTTGTGTCTCAGTGCTGATACCAGTCTTGGCTTCCCATCTTGAACACATTGAACATGACTTGTGCAACCAATCATGTTCTGGGTTTTGTTCCCTCCTGAGAAACAGGTTTGGGCTGTGGTCTGTGGAGGGTGAAGTTCACAGTGAGGCAGTAGAGGCCAGGTGCCAAGTCAACAGAGTAGAGCCATATGCCAAGTCTTCAGACCCTTTGGGGTCTGGCCTGTATTCCCCAGACGCTTCTGGGAAACAGTTTGCAGCCCTGCAGGGTTGTCTCAGTGTGGGTGAAGTCCAAGGCTAACCTAGGATGAGGGGTGTCTGGCTCACGCTCTGGCACCTGCCTGGACAGCTGAGCTTCTCCACTTCCCACTGTGGTCTGATACATCTGCACACGTCGACCAGGTGCTGCTGCCCAGTGAGCACCCTCAGCAGGAGGCATGTTTAGTTCTGATTCATAAAACATAAGCCCAGAAAGGTAAGGTTGCCTTCCCAAGGTTGTACCGCTGACAGAGGTCAGAGATCTGTTGCTTTTAACTTTGGGTTAAGTAGAGTTATTACAACCTCTCTGAGGTTGCTCCTGCCCAGCTGTTTGTAACATGAGGATGTACCCCAGCTCACAACACAGAGCTCAATACTTACCTCTCTTCTGGCTATTTTTTTCCCAGAGTCTAAGCACCAGTCAATGGAGGGCCTCCACCTGATACCCGACATGTCCTCCAAGATGAAGTAACACTCTCGGGACCCAGGCCTAGGCACAGTGGGGTTCAGGCCTTCCTTTTAGGGCCCTTCCATGAAGTCAAGCAACAATGACTTCTCTACCCAGGGAAGTTCATTCACTCAGATCAGGATGCTAAGGACACAGAACATTGACATGGCAAACTTGTCCCCGTTGACCAACTTCAGGTCCTCTTTTTTACAGAAGTTGTCTAATAACTCGGCACAGTGTGTTGTGGTCCTGCATTGTGCTGCGTGCTGGCCAGATTAAGATGACCACAGCATACACACTGTACACATTTGTCATTTCTTTATGATGAGAACATTCGAAGCTCTTTCTTCTGGCCTACATTATAGTTGGACTTAGACACCCTGCCATGCCACTGAACACCTGACCTGGCCTCTGAAGACTGTATTCTGCTCCCAGTTTCTTCATCAGACTCTCCACGTGAATCTGGTCATGTGACACTTGTCTTCCTGTGCCTGGCTTATTCCATCTAGCACATAGTCCCCTATGTTCATGGTATTGCCATCAGCAGGATTAAATATGTTTTCATGGCCGAATAGCATTGTGCGGTGTGTATCCACTCATCAGTTCGTGGTCCTCCTGTCATGTTCATTCCCGTCCACTGAGAACAGCACTGGAATCATTGCGGGCATGCATGCATTCATCCCTCCGACACTGCGGATTCACTTCCTTTGGCTGTACACCCCACAGTGAGATTGACAACTCACAAGGCAGTTCTATTTTCTGTGTTTTGAGGTTCCTCTTTGTTGTCTCCATAATGTTTGTGTTTGTCTACATTCATTCCCATTGACTGTACAAGCCAGGAAAAGGGGTCTCTTCACAGCATCCTTAACAACACTGGCTTTGTCTTTGTTGTTGTTGTTTCGTGAGACAGTGTCAGGTTAGCCAAGACGGGCATAAAATTCTCAATCTTCTTGCTTCAGCCTATCGAAGGCCAAGAATACAGGTATGTGCCACCATGTCCTGTGTAGAGAGAAGCTTTTTCTTGTCAGCTGCTTTGGTTTTTCCCCCGCCAGTCGCCTGGGCTCTGCCGTGTTGTAGTCCCCAAATAACACACAAGATGCTGTATTAATTATGAAGCTGTTGGCCTTGCTTGTTTCTTACTGGCTAGCTCTGACTTAAGTATTTAACCCATCTAAGTATTTCTCTTACTGGACGGACATCTTACTTCTCTGGCGGGCTACATGATGACTCCCTGTGTTTCTCCTACCCAGAGTCCTCCTGGACTCCTAGTCCCACCTATCTTGCTTCCCTATTGGCCAACAGTGCTTTATTGACATATACACAGGTCTTCCCCCATCAGTCCTGGAACTCTTTTTGTAGACCAGGCTGGCTTCGAATTCATGGAGATACTCCTGCCTGTGCCTCCCAAGTGCTGGGATTAAAGGCATGCGCCACCCTCTGGCTTGGGTTTTGATGATGCTAGAGTCATTCTTTTCAACTCTGTGAATCTTCATGTCCTCCGTTCCTGCCTTCCTAGTCAGGGCATGACTTACATGTGTGTTCTCCAGA